TTAATTAATTTTAAAAAATGGATTAAGGACCTAAATATGCAAACTAAAGCCAAAAAATTCTTAGAAGAACAATCTTAGGGGCAATGCTGTCAGACCTAGCTTTCAAGACAAACAGCAAAAGACAAAAAATAAATGGAACCTCATAAAAATTAAAACATTTGTTCATCAAAAGACTTTACCAAAAAAGTGAAAATACAAGCTACTGACTGGGAGAATAGCTTCAGAAACCATATATCTGATAAGAGTCTAATAACCAAAAGATATATAGAACTTCAACAACTTAACAACAAAAAGACAAATAACCCAATCATAAAATGGACCAAGGACTTGAATAACCATTTCATCAAAGAAGACATTCAAATGGCCGGCAAACACATGAAAAGATGCTCAGTGTAATTAGTCATCAGAGAGATGCAAATCAAAACCACAGTAAGAGACCATTTCACTCGTAACAGGATGGCTAAGATTAAAAAACAATAGAAAATAACAAATGTTAGCAAGGATGAAGGGAAATGGAACCTTATCCATTGTTGATGGGAATGCCAAATTGTACAGCCATTGTGGAAAACAGTGTGGTGGTTCCTTAAAATACTAAAATTAGACCTACCATATGACCCAGCAATTCAACTCCTAGGTATATGCCCAAAAGATTTAGGACTCAAAAAGGGACAAGTACACCAATGTTCATTGAAACACTATTCACAATAGCCAAAAGGTGGAAACAATCTAAATGCCCATCAACAGATAAATGGATTAACAAAATGTGGTACATACATACTGTGGAACACTACTAAGCCAGTAGGAGAAATGATGTCATGATATATGCTACAGTATGGATGGAGCTTGAAGACATTATGCTGAGTGAAATAAGCCAATCACAGAAAGATAAATATTGTATGACCTCACTTATATAAAAAAACAAGAAAAGGCAAATGTATAGAGAACAAATTTTATTAGTGATTACCAGGGGTGGGAGGGAAGGGGAAAGGGGAGGTTAGTGGTGATGGAAAAATCACATTGATTAAGGGTAGGATTGCACAGTTGATTATTGTAATTGCTGTAAATAAGTTGTACTCTTGTAAAAAGTTAAATTGGTAGAAGTTCTGTGATAGACATAATCACAACAAGAACAAAAAAAGAGTAGTTGCTTATGTGCAACCAAACACCTCATGGAATTTGGTTTCTTGGTTTAGAGTTTAGAGTCATGCTTTCATGGGACTTCCCAGTTAATTGGCCTAATAATGTGTTTAGTGCTTCTGTTCTACCTCCTAGTTCCTAGTACAGTGCCTGGGATCTTAGAAGCTTGCACGTGGTCATCCAAAGCAAAACAATTGGTCTCCATTTACCCGAACTAACAGAGGAAGGACAGTCAGGAATAAGAGGGAGATATGGAATGTGTGGCTAATTGCCTCCATGAACAATTGCCCCCTTTGCCATGAGACTAGAAGAACAGGATGGTGCCTGGCTACCGTTCCTGAACATTTTGATCAAAGATTCCATAGAAGAATCTGATCAAAAGGGGAAAAATGCAGAACAGAATTTCAAATTCTCATGGACTCTAGACTTTCTTTCCTTCCCCCCTAGACTTTCTGGAGCCATGAAGGGTGGATGAACTTCTGAAACTATTGCCCTGAGATAATCTTTAAACCTTAAACCAAAAATATCCCCTGAAGTCATCTTAAAACCAAACAATAGTTTAGCTTAACTAGTAAGAAAGATCTGCCTTGAGCATTGTACTCTTTTAAGAACTATCTATATGGGATCTAATTGACAACAGCAACTGAAAAGATCAGATAGGAACCTTAGGGGGCAGTAAGTTTATGTTAATGAGGGAGGAAAAACTCAGAAAAAGAAGGTGAGAATGGTTGCACAACTCAAAGAATCTAATCAATGTCACTAAATAGTATGTGGAGAAACTGTTGAATTAGTGTATTTTTTGCTGTATATATTCAACAACAACAACAAAATAAATAAAATTTAGAAGGAAAAAAAGAATAAGAAAGGATTAAAAAATAATAATCAAGGGCTTAACAGTTTGTGCCACCCAGAATAAGTAACATTTAAGGAGGCACTCACTCTCGGGTGTAGACCCTGTACTTAAAAGACTCTGAGAGTGAGTGTCTCCTTAAATTGTAAGCCCTATTTGCCTCTACCTCATCCTAGTCCTGGCTCTGAGGAGAGCTAAAATTTCACCTTTTCTAAAGGAATGCTGGGAAGAGAGGACTGCTATACTCATCCAGTTTAGGTGAAGATTTAATAAAAAAAAAAACTGATGCAGCCTCCTCAGTACATCTTAGCATTAAGCTTTCACTTCCTAATGAGAAACGTGACATGCCATCAGCCCCCTGCCATCAACCCCAGCCCAGATATATAGGTTATGGAGAGTTATGAAGAGGGAAAGCATAGTCAGAAGAGCAGCAAGTTTCCACTCATATTAGGAGGGAATGATAGCAGTTTTTAGTTTAAAATCAAGTGTAATAGTACGTTCTCTAGTGACCCTTCATTCATTATCTCTATTTTACAAAAAAAAAAAAAAAAAAGAATAATTAATGCTGTGAACACTAGTCCAGAGCTGGCACACAGTTGTGTGCTCAATAACTGGCAATTATTTTTCTCTCTAGGGGATAATGGAACTCAGGAAACACTTATTACCCAAGACCACACGATCAGCAATTCCACATTATTTAAAAACAGAATCAAGGAGGCAAGGCCAAGATGACAGAATAGTCAGATGCTTCCTGTCGTCCCTCTTACAATAAAGACCTGACATAACAAGTGAATTGATTATATATGACGATCTAGGAGCCCTGATCATTGAAGACAAAGCTGAAGAATCAGACTGAACGGCAGGAGGAAGGAGAGCCAATTCAAAAGCAGCTGAGAAGTGCCAGTCACAAGATTGCCAGTGCCCTTCTGGCTGGGTTGGCCCATGCATGCAGGCTGAAGTGAGCAGTAGCATTCAGGACACATCTCGCCACATCAGCTGAGGCCGGGTGGTGAGTCTGCACGTGCCTCTGGAGTCAGGTGGAAGTGACGCTGGACCTGTGAAAGTTACCTGCAAGTATCTAACCTACCACATGGGGGCAAAATAACCCCTCCCCCCTCAGAGTTCCACAGCGGAGAAGTAAGTCCTTCCCCTAACACCCACACCCCATCCCATTCTGGTCCAACACCAATCTGGCAGTATTCAACAACTGCCACGCCCCCCGGCCTGGAACTCAGGGCTAGCCACACCCACACCAATCTCGTGGCTTTAAAAAACACCACACACCCTAAGCCAGGAATTTAGGTCGGGGTTGGGAGGACTTGCCCCTTTGCACAGCCACTGGCATAAGAGATCCACTGACTTCACCCCTTCACACTTGCCTAGACCTGTGTGAGCTGATTCAAAACCTCATGCCCTTAATTAGCATAAAACAGCAAGGCATACACCTGAAGCCCATTTTCAACTGCAGCAAGGAAGGGGGAGCAGCAGATTTGTGACATTCAACACCGCCCTGCCCCCTAAGCAGGGGCCTCACCCACCCACACCAGAGGCCTGAGGGCTGGTGGTACCAACCACTCAATATAGCCACCCACGACAGGAGTCTGAGAATTAAGTGATGGCTCCCAGTCCCTCCAGCCAACGGTACCAAGTGCTCAAGGACTGACTGCAATACCCGCCACTAAGCACTGTAGAGGTCAGGGACACACCCTCTACCCAAGCACCCGGGGGTAGCCATCAGCCCCCTGCTGTGCACCACACATAGCTCCCTACAACAGTCAGATACCTGTGCTGCTCCAAATGCCCCTACGCAGTCCTGCCCATCTAAGACTGTATGTGAGAGTCTGCACCACACACTCAGTGAGTGATGACTTGGACATCTGTGCTGCACCTGCACAAGAAAAGTGAACAGACTCCTGGGCTCACACACCTAGTAGCTTCTCTGACTACCTGGAGACAGGATGTGAGAGCTTCAAAGATGCCAATAAACAAAGTAGCTCATGTACCCTGCCTGGGCTTATCAAAACATCAAAACAAAACAAAAAATTAGGACACAGTAAACAAATATACAGTAAATACAATAACTTATTGATGTCTTGAAGACAACAGTCAAAATCAAATCACATAGAGAAGCATGTCGAGATGGCTCCAGCAAGCCACCAAAATAAAGAACCAGGAAATCTTCTGGAAGAAGATAAGGTAAAGGAACTACCTGAGATAGAATTCAAAAGACTAATATCCAGAGCTCTCCAAGAGATCAGGAAGGAGATGAGACAAAACTCAGACCAAGCCAAGGAACACACAGACAAAGAAACAGAAGAATTCAGGAAAACAATATAAGATAAAAAGGACAAAATTAACAGGGTGATATAATCCACACAGAGACAGCAACTAGAAATCCAAAAGATTAATAATAAAATTTCTGAATTAGACAACTCAATAGAAGTCATAGGAGCAGAATTGAGGCAATGGAAGTCAGAATTAGTGAGATTGAATGTAAAGCCCTTGACATCAATTTATTTTGAAAAATCAAAAATGGAATTAAAAAAATGAAAAACTCTAAGAATTATGTGGGACACAATCAGAAGGAAAAACCTATGAGTGATTGGAGTACCAGAAAGGGGGGGATAACAGAAAATACAGAGAGAAATTGTTGATGATTTGCTGGCAAAACACTTCCCTCTATCACAAGAGAAGAGAAGATATCTATCCAAGAAGTTCAATGAACCCAGTACAGGCTGGATCCAAAAAGAAACCCACCAAGACATATTATAATCAAACTTGCCAAAACCAAAAACAAGTGTAGAATCTTGAGAGCAGCTAGGATAAAAAAAATTCACCTACAAAGGAGAACCAGTAAGACTAAGCTCTGACTACTCAGCAGAAACCATGCAGGCAAGAAGGCAATGGGATGACATATATAAAGCCTTGAAGGAAAAAAATTGGCAGCCAAGAATTATATATCCAGCAAAGCTGTCTTTCAAATATTATGGCAAAACTAGGACATTTCCAGATAAATGGAAATTAAGGGAATTTGTAAAAACCAAACCAAAACTACAAAAAATATTAAAGAGAGTCCTCTGGTTAGAAAACCAACAACATCAGAAAACAATCCAAGACTAAAACATGGGACAGGTCAACTAGTTATCAACCCAGATAGGGAATTCTCAAAAACAATTCAAAGTTAAAAGACGGAAAATCGGGAACCAAAGACGTCAATATGTAAATGATGACTTCAAAAAGAAACAGACAATAAACAGTGTAGTCATAAAACTTAAATATGGAGAGGAAGTTGAGGTGATATCAAGAAATAAAAGATCAGTTTAAGCTGAAAATTAAAGGTGAATTTTAAGGTAACCACAAAGGAAGCTAACAAACCTACCATCAAAATAAAAAAGAAGGAAAAAAAAAAGACTCAGCAAACACAAAATCAACAATAATGAAAAAGATGAAAAGAAAATACATAAAGAAAAAAGACTCAGCACAAAAATTAAGTGGAACAAAGAAACTCTCAACACCACACAAACGCACAAAATACATTAAAATGACAGCAGTAAATTCATACCTATCAATAACTACACTGAATATAAATGGACTAACTGCACTAATAAAGAGACAGAGAGTGGCAGAATGGAGTAAAAAAACACCATCTGTCTATACGCTGCCTACAAGAGACACACCGTAGACTCAAAGACAAAAACAAACTAAACCTAAAAGGATGGACAAAAATACATCAAACAAACGACAACCAAAACAGAGCAGAAGTGACAAAATTAATCTCTGACAAGATAGACTTTAAAGCAAAATTAATCACAAAGGATAAGGAAGGACACTATATAATGACTAAAGGGTCAATATACCAGCAGGACATAACCATAATAAATATATACACACCCAATGGCAGGGCTCCAAAATACATAAAACAAACTCTAACAGCATTGAAAACAGAAATAGACAGCTCCACAATAATAGCAGGAGACTTCAACTTACCACTTTCAGTGAAGGACAGAACATCTAGAAAGAAACTCAAAAAGATACAGAAGATCTAAATGCCACAATCTATCAACTGGACCTCATAGACATATACAGAACACTCCACCCAACAGCAACAAAGTGTACATTCTTTTCCAGTGCACATGAAACATTCTCCAGAATAGACCACATTTTAGGCCACAAAGCAAGCCTTAAAGAATCTAAAACATTAAAATAATATAAAGCAACTTATCATAATGTCATAAAAGTAGAAAACAATAACAGAAACAGCAAAGAAAAAAAATCAAATACATGGAAACTGTACAATATCTTGCTTAAAGATTACCTGATTATATAGAAAATCAAGGAAGAATAAAGAAATTCATAGAATCAATTGAGAATGATAACACATCTTACCAGAACTTTTAAGACACAGCAAAAGCAGAGCTTAGTGGTGAATTTATAACAATGAATGCACACATCCGAAAAGAAGAAAGGGCCAAAATCAAAACATTAACCCTACAACTTGAACCAATATAAAGAGAGCAGAAAAAGAAGCCCTCTGGCTACAGAAGAAAGGAAATACTAAAGATTAGAGTAGAAATCATTGAAATAGAGAATTGAAAAAAGTCAACAAGATCAAAAGTTGGTTCTTTGAAAAGATCAACAAAATCAATAAACCACTGGCCAAACTGACAAAAGAAAAACAGAAGAGAAAGCAAATACCCTGAAAAAGAAATGAGATGGGTGATATCACAACAGACCCAATTGAAATTAAAAGAATCATAACAGAATACTATGAAAAATTGTACTCCAACAAATTCAAAAACCTAGAGGAAATGGACAAATTTCTAGAAACACACTATCTGCCTAAACTAACACAAACCAGGTAAAAAAACTAAATAAAGTCATAACAAATGAAGAGATTGAAGAGATAATTAAAAAATCTCCTAATAAAAAAAAAATCCCAACCCAGATGGCTTCACTGGAGAATTCTACCAAACTTTCAGAGAAGAGTTAACACCTAACTACTAAAAGTATTTCAGAGCATAGAAAAAGTAGGAATACTCCTGAAGTCATACTATGAAGCCAGCATAACCCTGATACCAAAGCCAGGGAAAGACTCCACAAAAAAAAAATTACAGACCAATATTCCTCCTGCATATAGATGCAAACATCCTTAACAAAATTCTAGCCAAGAGAATTCAACAGCATATCAAACAAAAATAATAATTCATCATGACCAAGTGGGATTCATACCACGTATGCAGGGGTGGTTCAACATTAGAAAATCAATGAATGTAATCTATCATAGAAATAAAACAAAAGATAAAAACCACATGATCTTATCAATTGACTCAGAAAAGGTATTTGACAAAGTCCAACACCGATTCCTGATAAAGCATCTCAGCAAAATAGGAATACAAGGGAAATTCCTCAACATTATAAAGGGCATTTATACAGAACCAACAGCCAACATCATTCTAAATGGAGAGAGACTGAAAGCATTCCCCTTGAGAAGGTGAACCAGACAAGGATGGCCTTTATCACCACTCATATTCAACGTTGTGCTGGAGGTCCTAGCCAGAGCAATTAGGCTAGAAAAAGAAATTAAGGACATCCAAATTGGTCAGGAAGAAATAATAATATCCCTATACACAGATGATATGATCCTATACACAGAAGACCCCAAAGAATCCACAACAAAAATACTGGAACTAATAGAAGATTTCAGCAAAG